GTGGAGCTGGCTTTGCTCATGCTCTCATCACCATCTTCGGGTCCTGAGCTGGGCAACTGTTCCGAATGAGTGAGTCAAACGAGACACCTTGCCAGTCAAGAAATGCTGCAAAAAGTATTCTGTGAGCTGTGATTGAGTCCTGGAGTTTCTAGCGTAGTTTGGGAGAGCGAGATGTGGTCCTAGTGTCTTGATATGTATCTATCTTGGGGATTTTCTGTGGAAGATGGATGAACATGGCATATTACCGATGAAAGCACAGCCAAGGAGATGGTTTAGGTAGAGTTTGCTTGTGTTTGCGGTGATTTTGAAGGAAGGGTCTTGACAAGGGGCCATGCATCATGGTGGATCGCTTCTGGAACTCGTTGGTGGGAGGTCCTAAGGATCAAGAGGTCAGAGGTCACACAGGAAACCACCGTCTTGATGCCATTGGCGCATAGACATGAACACCATCCATTCTTGGGAACATGATATTGAATGATGTACTCCATTTTTTCAGATCGTCTTTGCTTGGAGCGCCCAGGACTAGTTCGAGTAGAGCATCTTGCTTGGCGCGGCTCCAGCCCCCCTCCCGGTGCCCCCGACCCGATGCGCCGGTCCCCCGCCCGGTGGAACGGCGTGCCGCCATGGCGAGCGGTCGAGGGGCGTGCACGGCGCGGCGGAGCCGTGCGGGCACAGGCGCGGTCCGGAGGGGGGACCGGGGGGAGGTGGGGAGGGGGTCGGGAGCGTGAAGTGACTGGTCCAACAGCGGTTGGTGCTTGGGGAGAAGGATTTCTGGAAGGCCGGTTCTTTTTTAGTTTGGATGTGAACTTGTTTTGTTTCCGTTCCTTGCAGTTGATCTGGGAGGTGTGGCGGAAGAAAAAACGGGGACCGAAGATTAAAACGAGGGATTTTGTTCGTGGGATTTCCCGGTGAGCTGAGCCCACCCAGTGAGCTGAGCGCCCTCCCGGTGAGCTGAGCTCAGCTGCTGAGTTGTGTCGAACTCCAGGTCGTGCTCAACCAGCAGATCGTCCAGGCAGAATCCTTGGCTCCTTGGATGAAGGACCTGGAAAGGAAGTGTTCCAACATGGGCTGGACCGGGAGAGGTTTCCAAATAGATAGATAGAAACCATTCCACAACTTGATCGACTTGAAGAGGTCACCTGTGTGGAATTCATGTCTCCAGTGTGGAATTCGCCCGCTTCTTCCACAGGCACCACCTTGAATTGTTTTCTTCTCCCCCCCCCGAACGGGAGTGGGGCCTCCAACCAACCCGGCTTTGCCGTGCGAGTGTTGACTTTCCCGGAACCACCGGAGATCCGCAGAGGACCGCGCTGCGGTGGGACACCGGGTAAGGGAGCGAAGGGCGAAGTTCTTCTTGGAAGGTGAGGCAGTGAGCCTCCCAACAGTTTTTGGAGGAAGGTGAACACTCGTTTTTGGAGAGACATCATCCAAGCGAACGTATAGTAGAGTAGAAGATCTGCAAAGCAGTCGTGACTCACACTGTGATGTCCGGCATATTTACAGCAATATGATCATATGATCTCCATGGGTGACAGGCATGTCCTTCATATATGTCGTATGATATGTGATGATATGATATGATATGATATCGATTTTCATGCACATCATATGTCATGTGGTATGACGTGATATCGAATTTCATTGTGGTCCTTCATATCTCCTCGATGTTCCGATTTCGGATATCGAAAGAGTCCGTTGATGTGCAGCTCTGAAAACGTTATTGGTCATCCACTTGGAACAGGGACCCACTTCACACAACGACCCAGCCCAGGGTCTCTTGGTAAGGGTACTGTAGGGCCTGGGTAGGATTCCTACGTTCCTTGCAATTGGAACCTCCCAGAATCACCAGTCCAAGGACGCTTCGAACGGGGCCCCTGGCCATACTACCAGTAACCAGAAGCTGACTACACGGGGGCTCCTGGCATCGCGAACCGCACGGAGCCGATCGGAGGCCACGAACGGGTTCTCCTCATCCGATGTGCGTGTCAGCTTCGCGTTTTGGCAGATGTTCGTCCGACTGTGAGAGCGCACCAAGGAGACCCTGCGGGGACTCTGCGCCGGTCATCTGGTGGAGTTTGATGCGGCCGCACCCGACACTGTTTTGTGATCGGGAGAGGAACGCGACGAGGGGATGTGATCGGGTTCGTCCAAGTTCACTATATGGTGCGTGGAACACGACATAAATGCAGTTCTTTTCCTGTGGAAAATTGACTTGTTCATTGCTGATCTGCTCCGGAATGCAAGACATGGGCCCTTCCTCACAGAGGTGACACCCCGCGCGGGGTGTGGGACGCCACGTCCCCAACCGAGAGCTGGATGGGGAGACGATGGACTCCGCAGCAATGGTGGTTGAAGAAGCATGACATGGAAAGCATGCATTAATGAAGCCTCAGTCTCATGTATCCAAACATGCAGAATAGTCACCACCTAGCCGCGACCTAGCCACCAAGCTCTCCATTTCTTGCACTCTACGGGATCATTTTGTTGCAACGCGCGACCCCAAAGCAGCCTAGACATGCGGCAGAACATCCAGCTGTCTCGGGGACAGGAACGCAGGTGCGGGGGCCTTTTTCCCGAACGGTCGAGCTCCCGGTCGACCGAGCCGGACGCATCCGGTCCATGTTCCGCTGAGCGGCGAAGACAGCGCTTCGGACGCGCGACGACCTCGTCGTCTGGTCGTCCGGGCATCCCAGTGGCAGTCGGCCGTGGCGGTCGGTCGATCGGTTGGGACCGGAGGGGAGCGGATGGAACCCCAAGAGCCGTCCGGAGCCTGTCCTTTTTGCCTTGGCAGATGCAAGAAAGAAAAGAGGAGGAGGTGACATGTGCAGTTCTTCGGGGAGGTCGACCTTCTCCGAGATTTGTCCAGACTTCCCCCCCCCCAAAAAGGGGGCCGTTCCACCCACATGACTGTTTGGGCTCCCCGGGTCCTCCATGAGGTGACCATCCCACAGGTCGAGATGAGCATGTTCTCAGTGGTCTTTTGAGGGACATGCTTTCAGGTTCCATGCTTTGAGGTCCATTTTCCTTGGTTTTTTTCATGGTTGGTGAAAAGAACAGTTGGAAGGAAACACACGCCCTTTCGATAGACCAGGCTGGGCTGGACCAAAAAAGACCACCGCTTTTGAAGGGAGCAACCGAGAGAATGGGGCTTACCAATCTGGAGAAGGTGCATATATATATATATATAAATTTTATACGGATATAGGCACTTATTTAACTTTTCTTCCTCAGGCACTTGGAGCACTGACAGTGACAGTGATTGATCCGGCTTGATCCGGCTTGATCCGGGCGCTCGCGAAAGAAAGATGTTCAGTTCTGCTTGAATTTGGGTTCTCAGACCAATGATACCAGACCGTTTGTGCGAGGCCCAACCAAGCCTCCCAGATAGGTGTTCATAAAACTGGTTTTCCCACTGGTCCATACTCCGCTTCCATGTGACTTTGGCTCGCGGACCGCCGCAGCGCCGGACGCCGCCCCCGGACCGGGCGCGAGCTCTGAGGCGAATGGTGGGACCACTGAGGCGGCAGGCGGGACCACCGGGGCGGAGCTCCGCGACGGGCCATGACGGAACGCTTGTTTCACACGGGGGGCGGAACCAACCTCCGTGGGTTCGGAGCCCATTGCAGAAGATCGACGACAGGCAAGAAGGGCACTGAACTTAAGACCTGAAGCCGCTTTTAGGGTGTCCGCTGTCCAAAACTCATGCATCTTGTGACACGAGTCCGAACGTCACAATATTTTGAACATCCACTGCATTCCCGTGTGTCTCTGCACGATTCTCGCGGTTCAGTTCCAAACTAAAAAAGCTGCACTCTGAGACTCTGAGAAAGACACACTGCACTCAAAAAAACACCCAAACAACCACCGTTCCAAACTCTTGGGCTTTCTCCTCTGGTCTTTGGGCGTTTGCTCGGTCACCCACCAGGCCGGTCCGGACCAGCTGCTCACCAATCGCACGCTCGTGGAGGTGGGGAGCCGCCCGGAAGGTGCTGAGTCGGTTGGAAGGTGCCGAGTCCAGTGGTGAAGAGAGCAGTCTAGACTTGCCACAAACAGTCTGGAACAGTGCAGTCACAGAAGTTTGAAATAATGTATAACTTGGATATGGTTCCCTCTCTTTCTCTATATATAATAGACTATATAAATATATATACACAAATATGCACACACACACACACACTGACCTCCATTTTGGGCGGTTGGTGATCCCAAATCAAGATCACTCAGGCTTCAAGTACATGGCATATAGAATGAACAAACGTAATACATATATAACACATGAACCATGTCGATTGTCTTGGGACTGCCGAGGCGTTTGGGGGCACCACGGGCCCTTCAGGCGAGATGGACCGGACTGGCACGGTGAGGTGAGCTCCAAATGCATCCATTTGTCGAATGAATCCGACCACCTTGTAGGATGGCCAACTAGTTGTGGAGGTGCAGTAAAATCCAGAAAAACAACATATATAATATACCAAGACTGCTGCTCTAGCGTCAAGTGCGTAAAAGTTCAAGTCAAGGAGTCAAGGACTCGTTCGACAGGGTTGAAAGCCAACTGGACTTGCCAAGTTGAACGGTCCTGACCTGGTTGACCACAGGCGTGAAGCTGAAATCGTGGCCATCGTATAAGGACTATGATGAACATGCTCTCTCAGGGACAAGAGTGAGAACCTCAAGAAAAGTTCGAAACAAGCAGAATCCAGACTCAACACCAAAACTAAACTGGAAAGGGAACTCAGTTTCTGTGCTCCAAGGAAACTCAAACAAAACTTGCATTAGGACTCCCTGAGCAAAAGGCTTTTTGTGCTCAAGTTCTGATGGTAGATGTTATCCTTCAATCGTTCACTTATGCGCTTACAACTTCAATAACACTTGACGTTCAATAAAGAGTTCCACAATAACCATGCGAATGAGATAGGGCAGCAGTGGTTGGATTTTGACATCAGGCCAGCCAGACCAGGTTTTTTGAGTGGGACAACTCCTAGGCCCGACCACTTGTTTGTGCTACAACTCCCAGGCGCTCAGGGACTGACCAGACGCACGAGTCGCCCTCCCTCCGAGTCGCCCCCAGGTGCTGGCGGCTCTCGCGTCGGCACCTTCGATGAGGCGAGGCCGGTGGAACGATCCGGTGGAAGTCGTTTCACATGATCGTTTCACCGGAAGGAGTCCTTCCTGATGATCCTTCTCACGAACCCGACTCGCCTGTTTCGTTTGGTTGACTTAAGACACGACCGAAGGTGTCTTGTGGACTTCGGTGTGCCTTCCCTGCGACAGGTCTTGTACCCGGCACCCGGTCCCCTCCACGCCTACCCTCAGCTGCGATCCCAGGCGGCTGACGAGGCGGAGGAAATCCCCCGCGTCTTCTCCCTCAAGGCCAGGCCGCTGGTAGGAGCCAGGGGGGAAGACCTCAAGAAGCCCGGGGTGGAAGACGGGAGGATCCGGAGTGACCATGCCACCCATGGCCAACTGACCAAACTGGAGGATGCAGAGGATCACATCGGCCCAAATGATTCTTCACGCCCTCTGACCACAGAGATGGGAATCTTTGTCCCCGCAGCAGGGAGGGTTCTTCACGCCAACCACTCTCATTCGCTAAGTGTTTACACCTCGCGTTTCGTTCGTTGTGGATGGTTCCTGGTTCCAGGAGCAGTGGGCTCGGATTTACCCAGATTTTTCGCTCAGCTCCCAAAACCAGGTCCAATGCCGTCTGTCCTTTGTTTAGACATCCCAGCAGAGTTGTTCCTCCGCGCCTTGCGTTGTGGTCACCGGGCAGTGCCTCAGGGTGCCGGCTCCTCTTTTGGCGCAGGCCGTGCGGGATTTCGAAAAAGTGGTTGGTTTTTGGTCAGCTCTGGAATGCGAGTTCCAACCCTGGAAAATAGGTGGAACCAGAGAATTCCACAGCATTTCCAGGTTTGGAACAGGATTGTTGGTGAAGACTAGCTTTGATTTCCTTTTGCCTAGATACAGAAACGGGGACCTCCTGTTTGAAGAAGGTTGCAGCTGCAGCTTTGTACCAAGTAGACTGTAGGATTTGAACCACCATTGATTTAATGGGCTGAATCCCGAACAAATGCTTGCGGACTGCCAAAGCAACCCTTGTGGACGGCAACACCAGGTCCACGTTGTCCACGTGAACCTTTCTTTTTAATGGTCGAACGGAAGGTTAGGGATAGATGTTTCTTGAGTTCTTGAGACGTTTTTTTCGATCACATCGGATTCGGATTTGCCAGAGTATGGCCGAGCGCCGTGCGTGCCAATACTTCCGGGGTTGCGCCACATCGGTGTGAAACCAGTCAACATGTTGGCAGAGAAGGCATGCGTTCGCGGCAGCTTTTCTTTTTGACAGAACCTTGGAGCTGTTGGCCGAGGTGCTAACCACACTTCGTTGCCCAGCAGCCAGGCACGTGAAGTGGGGTTTAGAGTCTAGAGTTCTCGTTGGCAAAGCCACACATGGGAGAGGCCATTCGCTTGTCATATTCTTTGAGGATCTTGCTTCTTGGAAGGCCATTGAATGATGTCATCACTGTCGTTGCGGGTGCTGTTTGTTGAGGGTCATGGCACGCGTTGTTGTGGTCAAACCTGCTGAAAACCGGTCACAACAAGTGCTCGGGTCGGTGTGATGAGATGTGACTGACATGGTGAATGCTCGAATGCTGTGACCGGACCATGGGCTTTGCTGGTTTGGTCAAAAACAGCTAAACAGCTAAACCATGCGATGGTAAATCATACCAGGACCAGGACACCCGGAAGCAGTGCTTGGTGGCCGGAAGGCATTGGGGCGGTGCTCGGTGGGCGTCGTGGTCCGCAGAGATTCGTCGTTGGTCAGGCCTTTGGGGCATGGCCTGGGGCTTCTAGTCACTTGGCTTGGAAGAGGGGTGTGTGGCATGGGCCGGGGCGTGGCGGGGTGGTACGGTAGGATGTGGCATGTGGAAGGCAATGACCAGCCATGGGGTGTGCACAGTGCACAGACTCAGGTCTGTCCTGTCCAAAACTGGTGGAAGAAACGGACTTGCTGGAACGCAGAATTGGTTACAGTAAGGGATGCTGAGCGGATGCAGGACACCCAGAGTTTTGGTCGTCAAACGCGTGGTTTCCTGTTTCACCACCGAGATCACCCTTGTTGGGCCCAGAGCCCCGGGGGGGCGCTCCCAAACCGAACTTCAGCGGGTGTCAGCACTGGAGGATGCCGTTCCAAACGTAATGGCTACCAGGTGCCTCGCTTGGCCGTGATGACCCTTTGCCCAGAATGCAAGAAGGCTGTCTGTGGCCGAAACGCTGCAGGTTGGGGCAACCACCTCCTGCTGCACCCGACGCCAAGCCAGGCCGCGGTTCTTGTCCATAGGGGGCATAGGGGCCATAGGGCTGCGCTTGGCACCAGTCATCTCAAGTCGAATCGGCGGTGAAGTCTTGGGACTGCGGACCACCTCCCTTCTTTGGCCTCCAGGATGGACCAAGAGCCGAATCCCTCCACAGATACCCCCCCCTTCCACAGGCCAAAGGCCAACGGCTTTTTGGTTCCGCCCGGTTCGCAGGAGGCTGGTCTTCCGGCCTTTGGCTCGGGGCCTCTCGGTTTGCAGCTGGGCGGGGGGGGAGGTCGCTGCGGCGGGCTGATCGGAGCCCCGAGCCCGCGAGGAAGCGAAGGACTCGGATCTTTTCAAGGGGGTTTGGGTCACTGGACAAAAGACTCCGACATCCAAGTCAAGGATGTTTGGGAGTAAAGGCAACTCCTTTTCGGGTCACCTAAAGACCATTTCAAACATTATCTTGGACTCCCAGGGTACATGTATATACATTAATGTGGCTGTACTTTTTGTGGGCGCTGCGAGCTGACAAAGAAGGACAGAAGCCACAAAATGGGTGTTTGTTTGTTTTCAAATGTAGTTTGAACTTCTTTTTGAGGAGTCGCACTGTGGGAGGTTCCTAGTAGTGTGTGTGTGTGTGTGCGCTACACAAGTCAACATTTTGCTGTGCACCTGGCCTGCTCTCTTTTTGTCCAGGCTGGGCAACGCGCCGATGGCCAGTGGCAGTGCCTCGTGGGTTTGGCCCTCGGCTTCAAGATTGGCTTCAAGCGCTGTGGCTTTGCAAAGTGGTATATATATATATTATATATTATATTTAAAAAGTAAGAAGCACTTCGCCCTCCAATGTTATGAACGTTACCTATATACACATAGGTTGGATGGCAGGCATCACCCCCCATTGCCTTGCCGCCAATTCCGTCACTTCATTGACAGTGCCTACGACTTCAGGCACACACACACACACACCAATCCCAATCGGCTTCATAGAGATGATGTGATTCCAGGTTGAGAGTCATTCCCATGGAACGGTCCTAGTACTGGACAAAAGAAAAAACACCCGTCTTCGACGTCTTCCATTTGGAGCCGGCACACCCAGGTCACAGTTTTTGGCTTCCCAGGCCGTGCCGCAGGGACCCCCAGAGACCCCAGAGCCGTCGAGTTTGCGGCGCTCAGACGGAGAAGACCCGATGGCGGGAACCTCAAGGTGGAAAGACCTTGGCTGAGGTGTGGGCCTGCCAAGATCGCAACCAACCCCGTTTGGGGGCTTCGTTGTCTTCCGCTTTGCCGCGGGTTCCCGCTGGGCCACACTGGAGGCCTCTGGAGTTCGGCAGCAACTGGAGGCAGTCTGCGGCCCGATCGTCGAGGCGATGACGGGGAAGGGGGGCACGTTCTGGGAGCGTCAGCAGGTCCACCGCCTGGGCGATTGGGAGCATGGGCGATTTGATTTTTAGGGGTTCAACGGACGGTTTGAGACGATTCTGATACTAATAAGATCGATCATATAAGTATCTTAAGTGACGCTACAAGTCGGCTACAAGTCGTTGGGTGCTCCAAGCTGGAATGACCTTAGCACCCCAGCACAGCCCTACCTGATTCATTGGCGCGCCTTGGCAGCCCTAGTCCACCGCGCCGCGCGGCAGCCCGGTCGTCTCACCTCTCCCAACCGTCCCAGCCGTCCCAGCTGCGCCGTGCCCGAACGGCTTCGCGGTGGGCTTCGCCAGGTGTGCTACGGTGAGGGGAACTTCATGCACGTGTGCTTCGGCAGCCCACAGGCGCCCACCGAAGACGGAATCGCCCATGTGGAGCGCGCGCTTCTGCCGGCTTCGGCTGGTGGAAACAGCACCAGCAGCTTTTCTGAGTTAAGGCTATATCAACTGCATGTATCCATTTGTTCATGCATGTTGAGTGCAATGTGTGGCCACTCTCTCCGCTTGGTCCCACTTCTTTGAAAGTCCCTCAAAAGCCGTCCTTTTGGTTGTTTTGCTCCACAGATCACCTCCAGACTGGACGAGAGGCTGCGAGCGCGTGCCTGGCTTTGAATGGACAGCTCTTGCTGGGAAAGATCATGGCGACGGCCTCGGGGGTAGTGGGAACGATCGGTGAGGCGGAGCAGGGCGTTTTTGGAACGGAGGTATAAATAATATATATACACTGTAATCGGGAAGGATACTCCCTCCAAAGATGAAGTGGAACTTGAGGGGTGTATCTGGCCCAAAGATGCTGGGGCCTCAAAGAGCTAATCGCTAATCCTCCAAGCTCAACGAGCACCACTACTAACGGCGGGCGCGCCGAAAAGGGTGTCTCGTCCACGGTGTCGTGATGATGGGGCGACCTGGAGGAGGTCTGTCGGACAAGGAAAAGGAACCAAGAGAGGTCGAGAGACCAGAACGTTGGGACCCTGGTCTGTGGTACGTATGGGATGGGCGACCAGACGGTCTGAGAGAAAACCTCTCTTGGAGGTGGTCGCACCTCAGTCCTAAGTCTCGAAAATGGTGAGGCGAACTCGCTCGAACGTGAGCTTCAACTAGGTCATCGCTGAATTTTGTGGACGGTGCCACCTCACAGAAATACTCTGAGATATCTGTCGAAGTTTGATATAACTCAAAGAATATGAAAGAATCAGTATACTAATCAATGTCCGAAATCTCTTAAGCCTCTACATGATCTCTGTCGCTTTGGGGCAGTGGGCCCGACTGAGGTGGGTTGTATTCCATGCACCCATGCTGTCGGAGGCTCAGAGGAGTCGGTCTGACAGAGGTCATGCACCCCCCTTGGCTCCAAGAACCATTGGTTTGAAGCACCGTCAACAGGGCCAGTTTAAGACTTCTTGCTTCGTCCCTGAAAAAGACATTCTGCTGTGAGGTCGGTTCTGGCAGAACTCGACCGCACAGTTGTTTCGCATGCGGAGAGTGTGAGATGAATGATGATGGCCACTGTACTCCACAACTGAAAAACTACACAACGCAGCTCACAATACTTCTCACATCCGTCTCTCCATGTCCAATCCGCGCACGGCTCTGCAGTCCCAGCCACCGCCCTGCCGGCAGAGCCAGGCGCTTCTGGCCGGCGAGAGCGAGCAACCGGAGGCGGTCCGGGCGGTCCTCGGCACCGGATCGACGGCCAAAAACGAAGGAAGCTGTATGATGACGGGGGGGGCGCCACCCACAAGCTTTACCACAGAATTAGTCATGGAGTCATGGATCAGGTGAAAGGATTTGGTTGCCAGGCAGATTTGAAGAGGCACATTTTTTTTGGGGGGTTTCTTCCCAGAAGCAGCCATTTGACATTTGGCCAGACTAGTTGAGAGCCCCAACAGCTGCTTCCGAAGCCAGCACCGCTCCGGCCCCTGGTCTCCGTAGGGTTGGACCCTGCGGAAGGTCTCAGTTGGTGACACCATCATGTAGACTCCTGATTGATCGAAACCTCCTGATTGATCGAAAGCTCCAAGCAAATGAGTGAAGATGTGTTCTTCCATCCTATTTTGGGGGGTCTTTCATGAATCAAGCGTCTACATGAATCCGTTTGGGTGCTGGCAGCCTTGCGTCGACCTACCAGAGCAAGCTGTGGCTCCGCTGGCTCCGCGTTAGGAGCGGCTGCGAGCCTCGACGGCCTCTGTAGGCGTGTGGCTTCGAGAGATGGGTGTGAGAATTAGGGAAGGTCACCCGAAGAGCACTGGAAGAAGGACGTGTAGATCAGTCATGATCAGTCTACCCCCATTGGTTGGTCTGTGAGAATGAGGGAGGAATCCCTCCACCAATGCTGACCAATGACGACCAATGGGTTTGAGTCTATTTCCGCTCTTTGAAGGGTGGGCCGTCCTCTTTCCCTTTGCACCCACTCCTGACGTCTGCACTGTGCCGAAACCGCGCGGTTTCGGGCGGTGTTCGGGCGGAACATCCACCGTATGGCGATGGCACCGAAGGCCCTACATGGTCTTGGAGATGGCCATCTAAACCACCCAACTTGGGGACCCATCTACACGTGCCATCGAATTACTCTCCATCCACTAGAAATAACTCCCTGTTGGAATTCCTGGAGGCAAGTTTTTGAGCGTGGCCCCAAAGTAGATATGCAACCCATGAAGACTTGGCCAGAGGCTCGAAAGTCTCCTTTGACTAGACATTCATTGGTCATCGGGTCCCAGTTCCATGATCGTTTCTAGTGCCCATTCAGCAACCTCCCGTTCTTGTCAGTCATCCTTGCATGTCTTGGTCTTGGTTGCATGGAGTCGGGGGTTGAGGCGCTCGGATGACTGAGAGCAGGCACACAGATCTGCCGTGCCCTCGCCCGAGAATCTCTGGATGTTTTGATGACACCTTCCTCTACCAGGATGGTCAAAGCTCTCCATACTCTGAAGATCTCTGATATTGTCAACACCCTCCAAGAGGTCTCCAGTTCGGCTTTTGCTTCAAAGTCTGGACCTGTAGAGTTGGGTCAGTCTGAACCGGGAACTAGGTCAAGAGCCAAGAGCTCACTGGTCTTGAGACTACCAGAGTTACTAGACTAGAGCTTTTTCTAAAAGGAGTGGTTCATGAATGCCCCCTGAACCCCTGTACTTCGGGGCACCCACGTGTCATCACCGCCACGCGTCATCACCACACGTCACCGCCACGCCCCACGCCTCAGCAGGCCTTAGACTAGGACCTGGAAGCCCGGAGGCCGGGCTGGCCGGACTTCTTGCGGTGGGGCCTTGGTTTGGGGAGCGAAAGGGTGACGCCGGAAGCCAAGAAAGACTCCTGGAAAGAGAGCAGAGTTGTTTCCCTCTTGAACTGTTCCTGTTGGGTCCTATCCCCTGTTGTTTTCCGGTTTCCAAACAGTTTTCCTTGGAGACGGAGAGGATCCCGAGCAGAGCCTTCGTTCCCCCAAAACCCCTCTAGGTGCGCCGCCATGGGCTCCTGTGGCGCTTGTTGGACCAGCTCTTCGACCTGTGAACTGACCGTGAAACCGGTGGGGACGTCTTTGGAGCACGGGACGTCCTTGCACCGAAACCGAGAGAAAAAGCCCGCCCGATGAACCGCGATCCGGATGGGTTTACTGGGGCGGCGACTGGTTTACGCGGGGTGACGGTGGGGGGGATGCTGGCGGCCAGGTGCGACTGGTTTGGTGTCTTTTGGGGGTTTTCTTGGCCACGACTTCGATGGGCCTAAGTGTCTTTTTGCGGGACACATCAGAGCCACCGCCCCACGGCGGGTCGGTCGAGAATCCAGAAGCAGGTGGAAGGGGTCCGGAGAGTTTCTTGGCGTCCTCCGAGGTTTTGGTTTTGGAGAAGATCCCGGGTGGGATGCGAAATCGCATGCAGTTTTGGAGAGTTTCTGAGAGGGTGAGGTCTTGGCTGTTTGGGTGAGGTGCTGGGCTTGGATCCACTTGTAAAATGCTGGCGAAAGATGTTTCTATATCTTTTTCCAGCCAGGTGAACATGGCTACAGCCTTGCACCGCACCGCCAGGCCTGAACGACAGTGACCGGGGTGGGGGGTGACCGGGGGGGCCAGCACTAAAAAGACTGCACCCTCCTAAGAGGCACCAAGGGGACTACACTGCTGGGAACCTCCCCAAAAGCCCATCAGGAGCAACCTAGCAAACCAAAAAGATAAAAACACTCAATCAGCAACACACATACATATTATGTAACATCATATGTATATATTCCCCCCAAAGAGCAAGAACCATTCCGAAACGAACATTGCAACCCTTCATTCTTTGGACGAGCCAAACTTGCTGTTTCAGTGAAGCAAGCGGTTGGGTGGCCGTTGGGCGGTAGGATGTCAATTAAAAAACCCCTAAGAATCCAGGGCCCTTCTTCAATGGGAAGGGTGGCAAGGTCCTGTCTGGACCGCTGCATAGAGGTTGGGCGCGTAAGCGGATTTTCAGGGCGGAAGCCACTTGGTTTGGACACTGGACACTGCACAAAAGTGGAACGGTTTCCTGCGTTTTCGTGGGCGTTTTCTGAGGATGGCGAAAGGAGCTGCGCTGCCGGACTTGTTTGCAGGCCTGTTCTTGGGGAGCTGTGCAGGATCCGGAACAGGTGAGGGTGGTTGACCAAGCTTATGAAGAGAGACCTAAAACACTGGGATTCCCAAACAGCCATTGGTTTACTAAGGATTTCACACTACAAAGCCATGTCAACGATCCTTTTCATGGTCTTTGAAGGCTAGGGACAGCGCGGAGTGGAACGTCAGAGGGCCACGATCAGGGTGAGCTTTTCATGTTGCATGAGTTTGCTCCTCTACTACTGCTGCTGCTGCT